ATCGACTCCATAGTTTTTGTTTGACAAATGACCATTCTGTTATGAATCTTACTCATCGGTAATCTTTATAACTTCTATCTGATAATAACGGTTGCATATGATATTTCTCTGAGATGGAAGAATGAAATACATGATTGGAAAGAAACTTCGTTGAAATCTCGAATAAAAAAAAACTTGGATATATTTTGATCGATTTTTTTCTTTCTATAGATCAGAGAAACTCAATTTGAGGAGAACCATCTTTTCTTTTGTTTCTCTCGATGACACATTAGAACAAAATCCTTTCTCATTAATAAAACTATACCTCCTGAATCTGTTGTTGTATTTCGAGTCATAAGAACGCCTAACAAAATACCAGTAACAGCAAGAACCACTACAACAACGACAATAATGCCAATAATGGTGAGTAAATTTTTTGTTCCGATACTAGTAACTCTAGAAAACAAAATGTCAATTTCTAATTAGATTCATAGAAAATATTGGAATAAACACGTTGTTCCCGATAGTATGGTTGGAATTGTATTTGTATTAACAGATACTGATGAAAGCTAAAATATTAAATCAAGGAAAGATATCTCGATTTTATTCATATCCATCTACCAATTGAAACTACTTACACCATTATTCGTATTCATTGTTGACTTTTTGTTCTTGTTTGATTGGTTTTTGATTGATATCTAAACAAACAATTCTTCCTCAACTATTTGAAAACCAAAGTTTTCTTTATCTTTTCTCACCTTCAAGAGATAAACTGTTTACAATTAACAGTATTTCTCACAATGAGATACTTTTATCTGAAAAAAAATTAATATATTCTTAGTTGAAAGAGATATAATCTTCATAGCATCTCTATTTATTTCATTCACTACAAACATGCATACAGTTCATTCAATGTAACTATTTGGATATAACAGATCAGACTTTTTCTCAAATGATATCATGTTTGATAAACAATGAACGATGCTTAAACTAACTCACTCAGGAATGATCTACGAAGTTCATGGAAAATCTAGTAGAACTTCTTTGAAAATAATGCTACTTTTGGTTTGAAGTGACTCAGACAGGATTCTCATTAGATTGCAGAAGAAGATTTTCGGAAATGTAATTTTATTTTGGTGTATGACATGTTTTTGAAAATCCAACTGGATTTCTCTGTATTCTACATTACATGCGAGGAAAGGACATAATAATCTATCCTTCTTCATAGAATCATTAATTCTTTCCTCAGATTTCACAGTCATAAAGACTTTTATTTTCATACATAGATCCTTCACGAATTGGTGAAAAATTGTAAATAGAGTAAGGATCTAATACAGAATGTCCTGCAATTCATTGCTTGAAACAGAATTCTTTTATTCAATAGACTTACGATCAAGATACAGTTCCTTTTTTTTTTCATCGACGATCGTCTGAACAGCTTGTATTAGGGATGGAAGAAATAGCAGTGACACACTCATTCACTACGAGTCACTTTTATCGTTCTGTCACTTGCACGAGGCGAACGCAAAAGAAAAATCTTTTTTGTTATATATCCTTCGTATACAGCGTCGTGCGGGTAAAGAACGAACAAATTTTCTCTTGCGTTCTGCCCGTTCGAGTGATAGAAAGACAAAAGTGACTCGTAGCGAGTGAGTGAGTGTGTCACTGCTATTTCTTCCATTCCTATTAGAGGTTGTTTCTACGATGTGCATTATGAAACTACTATGTCTACATACCTGTTATTGTATTCGGAATATTTCTTTAATGAATGCTTGTTACCTGTTTTTTTTCATTGATTTATATACATTAACAATTCAATTATCGATAACGTCTTTTTTTTTGAATAATTTTATCATTGATATTTCAAGTGGTGTGAGGATTAGAACAGCTGCCATGTTGCGTTTCAATTCTCGCTACATACTCGCTCTTCAGATGGCTTGAAAATTTTAATTTCTATTCAAAATATTATCAATCAAAATCAAATCTTACTTGAAACTGTCTTACAGTAATTCATCGATATGAGCATCCGGATAAATGAGAACAAAATTCTATACAATGCGACATCGTTGGATTTTGCCATCTTTTGATGGTAATGACATCATGAAAACAGCAGTAGTTTCCCTTGAAGAGGCCGCCGCTTTACTGGACTACTAGCTGTTGTCGATTTCTTCTTGTTGGTCATGTTGTTTGTAATCGTTGAAATGAAAATTGTTCCAATAGGGAGAAAACTCGCTCTTTTTATGCCATCAGTTTATCGTTTTCTTTGCTGATTTTTGTTTTTGCGTCTAGCATGTTTATCCCATTCAGTTCCATCGAAGAATTCCATCTCTCTTTGTTGTTAAAAGTGTTACTACGAAGAAAATAAGAGTGATCAACAAATCGGTTTCCATGGATGAAGAACAATAAAATTGAACAACAATAAAATAGTGTCATTATTATTGTTGCCAGTTGAAGACAAGTCGTTTGCTCTTTATCCTATATTTTTCTTCGTCGAGAGTCTGCATATTCTTCAAGGAGGAATAAAAAACTTTTCGGTCATTCACAACCATTCAGAGTCATTCGAGTCACTGTGATTAGTTTTTTTTTACTGTTAATATTCTCACAAGGAGTCCATTTCAGAGAAAAATCTTCTGACATTGTCGCATCACCCTCAAAGATAAATAGTTGCGGAAAGGGTTCGAATTTGGCTGTGGGTGTGGGTGTGGATGTGAGTGGGTGTGGGTGTGGGTGTGGGTGTGGGTGTGGGTGTGGGTGTGGGAGTGTGGGTATGGATGTCAATGTAAAAATATGCACCCACACCCACACCCACGCCCACACCCACACCCACACCCACACCCCACACCCACACCCACACACCCACACCCACACCCCCTAAACGCAAATTTATATTGAATACATTTACGCTTCATTAATAGTTTCAGACATGAAGGTCATTATCTGGTTATATGCTATATTTAAATCTAGTTTCTCAACTATCAACGAGAATTAATTGTGCTATAATTATGATAGCTTTCATCTAAATTGTTTTTTCATTGGTTCAAAAATACAAAAAAAAAAGAGAAAGCAAAAGAATTGGAACTATAAAAAAACTACTATTTAAGATAAATGTCATTTTCAAATTTAAGTCAAAGCTTTTTTCTTGATCATATCAATTAAGACGTTAAGATTAAAATGATAATCATAAAAGTTTTACATTTTCATTGATATTTATTTTAGAGAATGACTACCAAACATAGCTTTAACGGTAATGATAGTAATGAAGTTGTATTTCATGTATTCGAAACATCCATACCTCGTCCAATTCGATTTTGGCTTTTATTACTATTTGATATTCCATCAATCATGTATTCTTTATTTTTACTTTTTCATCTTTTGATTAAGAAAACTTTACGATTGAATTTAATAAATCATGGAATGATTGTTTTGCTCATCATTGGATTAATAATATAATTAATAGATATTCCTTTTTATCTTAATTTTTTACGTGTTGGCATTATACAACCATCAATACCTTTTACATTTATCTTATTCAGCAGTGGACAACAATCTGATCGGTGAGATAAATGAAAATTTTAAGCGGAATTGACTCGTTCAGGTCAAAAATGCCCTGTCTGAAAAGATTAACGTAGACCAACGAAACAACACACATATGAAAAATGAAAATCCGCAGGAGAAATGAAACTTTTCATGGCAAGGATGACTTAGAAAAATATTTGAATCATTTTTCTATGAGGAAAAATACTTCAGTTAAAGTTTACTTTTATATATATATTCTCAGCGGAAAAATGAAAATCCATAGGAGAAATGTGTCATTTCACAGGAAAAATGGCTAAGAAAAATGTTTCAATCATTTTTCTATGAGGAAAAAAAACTCCAGTTAAAGTTAACTTATATATGTTTCTCAGCGAAAAAATGAAAACCTATAGGAGAAATGAAACTTTTCATAGGAAACAGGCCTAAGAAAAATGTTTGAATCATTTTTCTATGAGAAAAAATACTGCTATGAAAGTTCACTTATCTATATGCATTCTCCGTGGAAAAATGAAAATCTGTAGGAGAAATGTGACTTTTCATAGGAAAGATATGTAAGAAAAATGTTTGGATCATTTTTCTATGAGGAAAAATACTTCAGTTAAAGTTTACTTATATAT